GCCGCGTTCCTGGGTCGAAGAAGTCAAAAAAGCGGATAACCGTCGTCCTTACCACAAATTCCGATGGATCCGACCACATAGACCCACTGTTCATCGGCACGGCAGCTCGTCCGCATTGTTTTCGTGGCCGTTCAGCTGAAGACCTTGGTTGCAACTACCATGCCAGTAAGAAAGGCTGGATGACTGGAACGATTTTCAATACGTACCTGACATCGTTGAACAAACGAATGGTCGAAGAGGACCGCAAGATTTTCCTGCTTGTCGACAATGTACCCTCTGATTCGCTCGATGAAGACGTCCTCCTAGACAATGTCAAGATTCAAATGTTTCTGAAGAACACGACCTCGCACCTGCAACCCCAAGACGCCGGTATCATCGCGGCCTTCAAGGCGAAGGTCAAGCAGCGCCAATTGCAGAATGCCTTGGATCAAATCGAATTGGTCATGAGAGGACGACTAGAACGATTGTACGAGGTACTTTTGGACAAACCGATGACCTGGGTAAAGGAGGCTTGGAGATCTGTGACCGAGCTCACTGTTGCGAACTGCAGGGTTCGCACCGGCATTATCGATGGCGAGCTCTCTACCTTTGGTGAACAGGTGGCTGAACTGCCTCTCGCATAGCTCATTGGCCACCATCATTAACTGTGATAATATCTACTTGTGAAAAATAATATTTTGTGTAAATTCATAATTCTTGCCCGTTTAGAAGTCAGAGGGAAATCAGTATATTATTCGAGACACCATTTGTATTCTGGACTCCTCCAAGAAATAATAGATTTGCCTGTCACACGAATAACAAATTGCACAGAAGTCACTTCGCGCGCATGCATTCCTCTTATATCAAATAGATACTCTCTAAATTAATACAATCTCTATACATTATCAATTTATATAGGTAAATTTTTGTTTCGGAGGTTTTTTGGCGCTGATTGGTGATCGGTTCTGTCCAAGATGTTGCTGGAGATGACCCTGTTTTGGATGATGACACACTTTGTGACCTGTTGACCAACATGGCCATCGAAAACACCATTGATCCAGATGAAGACATTTACTGCTCAGAAGAAGCTGAAACTTCTGAACCAAATTAGGTCAACTCAATATATTTCCTGTCCATTTGTATACAATATTTAAGTTCACTTCCTCTCAATTGTTTCTACCCTTGAAGATTAATTTCACTTTACTACTTATTGTTGAAGGTGTTGATTCGGTGATAATCCATATATGAAAGTTTGTACATCCAGAATAAATTACATAACCACACCCCTTCCCGCCGTCGGATAAATGTAAATTTTTACTGTCCAGAATAATATAAGCTACTGTACATGGTAGGACATGGATTCTACTGAATGGTGTTGAGCTTTTATCGGCCCGGGTCCCGAATCAAAATACGACTTTGTGATTGGCAGAAAAGAAAGAGTGAGATGCGAGGGCAGCCGAGGTCTCACTGCGTCATCGCGTGAGTTCGTTCCGTCTGCCTACGCAGCCACGTCGTCGTCCTTCACGCCTGGATCCGGCCCCAGCATGCCGACCGAGACGCAGCGGTCGTCGTGCTGGGGCCGGATCCAGTCGTCTCGTTCAACGTCCATTTTGTCGTCCGCCAGCGAAGACGACAACGACGATGAATCGTTCCGTGT